AAAAAAAAGGAAGGACTTTCAGCAATATGTCACCTAGATAGTATATGGGGAAAACGAAAGCTTGTGGTTGAATTTTTAAGCTATAGACAAACTCCGCGGAGCCATTTTGGAATTTTTCGACTTGCAGCTTCATATCTTTGATATGATTCTCTCTCGCTATGACTTAAAAACAAAGTGAACAGCTTACACATTTTTTATCATGGAAGATAGTCCACAAATACAATTTGAAAACCCCATGTTATATAGAGCCCAATGTAGATGTGCCTGACCTGACAACCCAAAATCGTGCACTCAACATACAGCCGAGGAGGTAACTCGAATAGGGTACGAGTTTCAGCGTAATTGCAACGCATTGTTCCTTGCGATTCATTTTACGACTTCGTTTAAACCAAAACGCTCCTAGTATTTAAGACGCCAACTGCTTGCGAATGGGAAGCAGAGGTGATAAACGTCGAAAAGCCTTAATCTACTTATTTTACTTTTTTCCGCTCGCTGCTTTTCGGCTATAAGTAGAAAGTACTTCAATGAATTTTCTTCAACAATAAGCGCTGCAGAAAATGGTCAGAGAACAGTGATTTCCTATAAGAGCTTTCAAACGCCATTGTCAGTCACAAGCGATGGGACAGCATATCTTTTCCCTTCTCTCAACAAATTGTCGTAAGTAAATATGTGACTTTACCTACTCTACAACGCACTGTTATAACATACTTCTAACAAAGTAAACTAAGAAGTTTTAAGGAGCCTGAAGTATTACTATGAGTTAGGGTTCTTAAGGCCTGCTTTGAAAGATCCATCTAACTTTAAACTTTAGACATCAATGGAGAAAAAATAGATTTCTTAATTTGATTATAAACCAGGTTTTTTTTCATAAGAGGGGCTACAGGCATTTTGACATAATGTTATAAGAAAAATTTGGTACAACAGCTAATCTGAAGGAAAGTGTTAATTATATAGTTGAGACTTTTCTTTGAATTAGCTATTATACTTTCAGCTTCACTTGTCCTGTCCAGGTTT